TGACAGTTAATGGTTTTGTGTTAGATAGTTTTATTTTGTAGATGTTAATTTTATTATCTTTAATATTTTGTTATGTTGAATCTTAAATGTTAATTTGATGATTTATGTAAAATAAAGTAATTATGTGAGTGAAGGAACAAATGTTATGATTTTTTTAATTTAGATTATTTATATATTTTATAATTATAGAAGAAATTTTCAAGTTTTGATATTAACATGTCAATTGATGTGATTTTCAAATAGTCATAATTTTTCATTTATAACTTTTTATATGAAGAGACATAATTTTGAAAATACACCAACACATTGTATAATAAGTTTAAAATTAAATAGGCAATTATTATAAATAATTGAGGCTAAACGATAGTAAATTTTGTTGTTTTTATTTATTTATTTTAGAGCTTACAAAAAGAATATTCTAAGTTAATATCTAAAAGTATTTGTTAAATTGGGAAGACACTATTTATGAAAATTATGATTTATTTGTTGAACAAATTAAGAAAATAAAAAGTTTTTTAAAGTAATCTTGATGCATCCATGACAAACTATTTTAGTATCCATAAATTAAATTAATTTAATATTTTCTTCTTATTTCTTTATTTTTATTTTTGGGTGATTCTATAGTAAGTTCATTAATTCTAACAATAAAATAACTTTGGTTCGCCCTCGCCCTTTCTACATCCTGGCCTAAGGTTCAAGAGTGCTTTTTTTTTTTTGACAAATAAACAAAAAAAAAGGGAAATTGAATGCATTGCTTTTAAGTTAAGAAATAGTAAATACGTTCGTGTTTATTAGTAACTAAACATGAGTTCCATTAAGGCTGCTACAGTGTTCCTGGTTGGCTGTTAAACTGGAAGTCTACAACTGTTTCTCCTTGACTACTGACAACCACCAATATAAATGGATTAGTTGCCATGCAAAGGACCAAAAGCAGCTTTAACGTGTGGTTACGGAAGTACATTTTTCTTCTATTACCAATCTTTCCATCTGAAAAAGCCTGTCTCTCTTCTTCTTCTTCTTCTCTCTCTCTCTCTCTCTCTCTTTATGCAGTTCTCTACTCGTTGAATTAGCCAAAAACAAGAGCCAGAAATTGTTCAAGAAAAAGGAAAAGAAAAGTTATTATTGAAGAATTAAAATTATGGAGAATGGAACAGTACTGAACCATGAAATGGAAACAGCTTCGACTATCACGATCAAAGGCACCCTTAGTTTGTTAATGCAATACATTGATGAAAAGAACGGGAAGAGGTTGATTTCTTTAGGTATCGGTGACCCTACTGTTTATTCTTGCTTTCATACTACTCATGTTGCCGGAGAAGCTGTTGCTGAAGCTCTTCAATCTGAGAAGTTCAATGGATATTCACCTACTGTGGGCCTTCCCCAAACCAGAAGGTAAATTTCCCCATCTTTGTTACTGCTTTTGAAATGCTAATTGCATGTTCTTCTTTTTGCTGTTGCTTTGAATTGTAATTCTCTTCAGCATGAATTTCAGTATAAATATGTTCAGTTTCATCTAATTGTGTGAACTCTGCATTCTACTTTGACAGTTATCAGCTAACTCACTGCTAATTCATCTTTCAGTTGGTAATTGTTTGTTGTCAAAGCAATTTTTATATCTAATAATCTGCTTCTACTTTCAGTTTATTGCAATAGTACTTTTTACTTTTCACCTTTCATGGTTACTCTAATCATTGATTTGTTTAGTTCCTCGAATTCTGAAATTGCAGTTGAGGACATGCAAATAATCTGGATTTGTTTTTATTTTGATTTTATTAGTGATTCTTTTTTTTGCTCTCTTCGTCAGTATAATTAAAAAGAAATATTATGATTCTTTGATTCTAGACTTAATTTCTCATTTATTGCTGTTGGAAACTTTCAATTTGAAAGGGACCCAGACTAGAAATCTGGGTTTCTGCAGTCTTGCCCAAGTTCTTTGTTATTTAATTGTTGCAGTTGAAGGATATTTTCAAGCACTTGTCTGGCTAGGCTTAATACAGTCTAGCTTTAGTTTCTTACTTGTTCTTGAATTTAATGCAATCTAGAGCTACTAATTCTCTTTTTTTTCCCTCCCCTCAAAGTGTGGGGTTTCTCTGGTGGGATGATGCAGTTTTTTTTTTTTTTGAATCTTGCAGTTGATCAACAGTACTATATATTTGAAATTTTCTTTACTCATTTTCTCATGTTTTCACTCTTAACAGGGCAATTGCAGAATATCTGTCATGTGATCTTCCTTACAAGCTATCATCTGATGACGTCTTTGTCACATCTGGCTGCACACAAGCTATTGATGTAGCATTGGCAATGCTTGGACGACCAGGTGCAAACATCTTGCTTCCAAGGCCTGGATTCCCAATCTATGAACTCTGTGCTACCTTTAGACGTCTTGAAGTTCGGTACTTTGATCTTCTCCCCAAGAAAGGCTGGGAAGTTGATCTCGATTCGGTTGAAGCACTTGCAGATCAGAACACAGTTGGTTTGGTAATCATAAACCCTGGCAATCCTTGTGGCAATGTGTACTCCTACCAACATTTGAAAAAGGTAAGTACCTTAGGATAAGGAAATGCAGCTCAGGGACATGAAACTTTGATGAGATTATATTTGCCTTTAGTATTGGTCTAGTGGGAATAATTTAATTGTTTGTTTATTGTACTTAGATTGCAGAAACTGCAGAGAAGCTTAAAATTCCTGTTATTGCTGATGAAGTCTATGGGCACCTTGCTTTTGGGGACAACCCATTTGTACCAATGGGAGTTTTCGGATCATTTGTTCCAGTCCTAACTCTAGGGTCTCTATCAAAGAGATGGATAGTACCGGGATGGCGACTTGGTTGGTTCGTGACGAGTGACCCCTGTGGCATGTTTAAAAATCCTAAGGTTCTCTTCCTTCTCTTACATATCAGTATTCTTGATGTTATACTTCGGTATTTGCCCCAGTGCGACAATAATGAAACCCCCAATAACTCCATAGAATTGTTTCTGATACTTGTCTATTTCAACAATAACGATGCACTACCAACGGTCTCCATGCATTGTCTATTTCAACAATAATGATGCTCTATGGAAGGTGCCTGGAAATTTCTCAAACCATTTCAATGCAGTAAATGCTATCTATATTCATATTCACTTTCAACCTCTGCCGACTACTTTATCTTGAAATTAATTTTGGCAATCTAACTTTTGTCCTGACTTTTGTTGTGTCTACTGATAGTAGCTTTCTTGAGCTTTAATCAGTGATTTCTCCATATGGAAAAAAAAAGGAAAAACCTGATGCAATCATTGTGACGTAAATATTGAACACCCGATTTGCACTTCTTACATCTTGTGGTTGAAAATCTGTTCTGTTGTATGATATAGGTTTATTATGAGACAATCAATTTTTGAATCTCTCTGATGCTTATATGTCCTAATCTTTGTTCTTATCAGATTATCGAGCGTATAAAGAAGTATTTTGATATTTTGGGAGGACCTGCAACTTTTATTCAGGTATGTTGTGGTGTTGCGTTGTTTAAGGATTTACAAAATGTGAACATCCTATTGTTGTTCATAACTACAAGTACTTACAAAACCATGTTAAGAAGTTGGACATAATAATACAGTATTGCTGTTAGACATAGCATAGCTAATTTTGTGCTTGATCTTAGGGATGATTAATCTAATGTTAATAAGATTTTGAATCATTATAATAGAGCTAACGTTATAAATTGCATTATGCCATTACCAAAGGTATTCACTGCATTCTTTTTGTGGCTTTCTATTTGGTGTTTTAGGCAGCTGTTCCCCGTATCATTGGGCAAACTGATGAGGTTTTCTTCAGGAAAACTATTAACACACTGAAGCAGACCTCAGATATTTGTTGGGATATGATACAGGAGATCCCTTGCATTAGTTGTCCCCAAAAGCCTCAAGGATCTATGGCTGTCATGGTAATGGAGTAATAATACTTGCAATTCTTTGTGTTTGAATCTAAAGGGTTCACAAATATGCTAATTTAGTATATGCATTGCAGATTAAACTAAATCTTTCAGACCTGGAAGACATCAGCGATGATATTGACTTCTGTTTCAGGCTGGCTAAAGAAGAATCTGTTATCATTCTTCCTGGTATATAAAAATTGAAAGCAGCATGGTTCTCTGTGGCCTGTGCTTACAGAAAAACAAGGAAATTATGTCATTTCAAAAGCTCAAATAGGAGCCTTGCCTTGACCTTTTAGTCTGATTATATAAACTCTATGATTTGTCCTCGAAATCTGTATTATGGAATTCTTTTAATATTTGGGAACAAAGACAAGCAAAGTCATATAGATTATGGGGAATTTCATGAAATTTTGAGTTAATATTTTTAGGCATTGAAGTAGCTCTGTAATCACTTACAATGGAGAAGCATGTGTTTTGTGCAGGTACCGCAGTGGGGTTAAAGAATTGGCTTCGTGTCACGTTTGCTGCTGATCCACCCTCTCTGAAAGAAGCATTGGGTAGATTGAAGTCTTTCTGTGAAAGACATACCAAGATAATGCAGATATATTAAAAGTACAGGCTACACAACATGCCCTCAGGCCTCACACAGTATACTGACACCATTTCTTGCTGCTGGTATATCTTAATAATAGAATAATATTATGCTTCTTCAAAAGGTCAATAGTGCTTGTTGATTTATTGTTAATAACACTTGCAGATGTCAGATATTATTTCTTTTATGGGAAATGTTAACTTGAATGTTAAAGGTCATCTGCAAAGTAGTCTTCTTCCGCATGTAGTAAAATTTATAGTGCCAAATGATATAATGTACCAGAAGTTGTTACTTTGTTATGTTTGTCATCTTTCTCATCTGTCTAAGTTTACAGACTTAACACCATTTGATCAAATTTTCCACCATAACAACTTTCAATTATCCATTCCCAGGGAAAAAATACCTGGCATTTGCAATGAATGCATTTTTAAAATAGTTCTAACAAGTAACAATGATAAAACTTAGATGGGTTTGGGTAGCTCAGTAATTCAGGGATTACCTATTGAAGTTGGATTCCTCATATCAATGGGGACAAAAAACAGAGCAAGCACAAGGAGGAGAAAAGAATACAGAAACAGGAATAAAAGATTTGGGTAATGTTAAGCAATGTTAGGTAAAACACTTTGTATCTAAAGAGTGTAACTTAGCTTAAATACAATCTGCTACCAGTTCCATTTTTCCCTCTAGCAGATATTTTTGAATTTCAGTGCTTGTTTCATTTGGTCTCCCCTATGTTCCCTCTTTTTCTGGTCCCTTTTGTGGACAATTAAATGTAATAAAATGCCACAGAAAAGGACAAGCCATGAGATGGCAAGCCAACTAAACTCATCTCTTTAGCATACACTAAGCAAGTGTTGTGCTTAGAATAATGATAATCTATCAAATGTTTCTTTAGAAAGAAATAAAAGAGTATACTGCCAATTGCCGGCTGGAAATGTCTTACATATGATGATGTGTGTCTGTGCTAGGAGTATTTTCAATGCAGAACATTGAAAAAGACGACATATTGCTCAAAAAGAAGACAGAACAAAAGTCACAGTTACCTGAAACTCTTAACTTAATTACTTTAAAATATTAAGCCACTTTTCTTCAATGTCCAAGCACTGCAAGACAAACTATACAATCATGGATTCCACTCTCTCACATAACAGAAACCAGGCTCCTTCACTCTTCTTATATATCCAACGCCTCTTTTTTTCATTCCATATCAAAAGGGTATCTTTCGATTATCTATTTTTACAACTGTGGCAGATTGCACACCTTCCTCTGATAAGATATCAGGTGATCCTTCCCTCTCTGATTTTACTGATATTTCTTAATTTTGGGTGTTTAGTTATTGAACTTATTTCTTGTTTTGTGTTTTTCTTTGTTTGGGTGGAAGGTGAAATGGCTTCCTTGGAAATTGGAAGTGGCAGTGACTATAAGGTTCATGTGTTCTCTTCATCATCAGAGGTTACAACTCAAATTCCCAACTTTTTCTTTCAATTCATTGTCGTCTTCTTTGTCTTTCAAGTCAAGTTTTCTTGGGTCTGTTTTCGTTTCAATAGAAAAAGTTTGGTTTTTCATCAATAAGTTAGAAGTTTGATCCTTGGCAATTAGTTAAGAACATCTTTTGGTACATCGATGAATTGCTTATAAGGAGCTTGATGAGTGGTTTGAATGAGTTGCATATAGCCTGCTTGCAGAAATGGTTCTATGCCAGTAAAATTGTGATAAAATTTTATTATTCAATAAATACTGGATTTTGCCGGAGAATCCCCACTATCAGTTCTCTGTTCAGTAGATATTTCTTTGTTTCAATTACCTTGTCTATGAAACTATTGTACTACTGATGGTTCTATATAGGTGTTCTATGTGCTTGGGAGTTGGGACATTTCTAGTATAAAAAGGAATTGATTGGAAGTGTTGAAGAAATTCATGAAATTGGGATGTATTAAGGTCCAGGATAACCAAGTTTTCATATTCCTTGCTAAAATCCCTATATGAACGTCTTGCAGATTCTTTCCTCAAAATAAGATTTTAAAAATGGTTGTTTAGCTGGTAATATGTAGATTACCACTATGAGCTGTTATATTCTGATTATCAACTGAAAACTTACCTTCTTCCTTTGTAAAATATTGATAGTATTGTTTTTTTCAATGCACTTCTCAATCTATTACATCCTTTGAACATTTAGTTACCTTCTTTGTATATCCCAATTTTGTCTCAACCAGTTGCTTGAAAAGCTGCACCAAAAGTGGAGTTTGGTGAAAAAGAAACCATACCCAGCTATGTATTCCAGCATTTTTGGAGGGATCATTCTTGATCCTGCCATGATGGTAATTCCGTTAGATGATCACATGGTTCATCGAGGGCATGGTGTGTTTGATACAGCAATCATTCTAGATGGGTAGGTGCATGATATCTCTTTGATGCATAAGTTGACATATCCTTTAATAACACTTTATCAGCAGGATTCTATGTTTTTAAACTATCTCTTTTTGTAGCTATCTCTATGAGCTGGATGCCCATTTAGATCGCTTTCTTAGATCAGCAGCAAAAGCAAGAATCTCCTCTCCCTTTCCTCAGTCAACTCTTCGTAGTATTCTTGTGCAATTGACTGCAGCATCACAGTGCAAGAAAGGAACTCTAAGATACTGGTTGACTGCAGGTCCTGGTAATTTCTTACTCTCTCCTGCTGGATTGCCTACATCTGCATTCTACGCTGTAGTCATTGATGATGACTTCTCCCAACGCAAAGAAGGGGTTAAAGTGATAACTTCCACCACCCCTATGAAATCACCCCTATTTGCTACAATGAAGAACGTAAATTACTTACCTAATGTTCTTTCGGTAATGGAAGCTGAAGACAAGGGTGCATTTGCTTCTATTTGGGTTGATGAGGAAGGTTTTATTGCTGAGGGTCCAAATGTGAATGTGGCTTTTATAACCAATGATAAGGAGCTTATTTTGCCTCAATTTGATAAGATCCTAAGTGGATGTACTGCAAAAAGGCTTCTTGAATTAGCACCTAAGTTGGTTCAGCAGGGGTGTCTTAAAAGTGTGAAAACTGCCAATCTTACTGTCGAGGAAGCCAAAAGTGCAGCTGAAATGATGTATGTAGGAAGCACACTACCAATATTGCCAATCATCATGTGGGATGAACAGCCCATTGGAGATGGTACGCACAATCTTTTATACTAAGATGACTTTTAAATGCTTAGGAAGCCTTAATTTAGGCTCGTCCTCTACACTATCCTTGCAAGAAGAGTAACCTGGCACATAGAGATTTTTAAGAATTGTTGCTCCATTTAAAATGGACGAAATTCAGTGTTTACATGCACCTATTAATCACATCTCTAATTATGTTGCCTTGCCTATCTATGGATTAGCTCCTATGTTCTTACCGAGGTGTTGCTTATTTTTCATTGTTACAGGAAAAGTGGGAGATTTGACAATGGCACTCTCTGATCTGCTTTGGCATGATATGGTAGCAGGTCCTGATACACAGAGGCTTTCTGTTCCATATATTAACTGATCCAAATTTCACCAAGGGGACTAAAAGGGGATCTTGCTGTTTGGCATCGTAGTGTTTATTATTGCAGCTGCATACTTGCAAGAGGACTTGAATAAGAAGCTAATAGCTTGCACTGCTGTTTGTGTTATTTAGCAAGATCATCATTCTGATGACTCATTATTTGATCGAGTAGATGATTGATGCATTACATCCATAGACTGACTCCTTCATACCTATATATGATTACTAACATACTAAATGTTCACAGATATACAAGTACATGTACACGTGCATACAGGCAAACATGGTAAAATATGAAACTTCTGTAACTCCATGATGCTGTAACGAATAGCAACTAGCGGACGAAATAAGCTAATCTTCACTCAAATTGATTCTTCTTATTTATTGCATATTGAAGTATGTCCAATTTCCCTTGTGTATTTTTCTGCTTTTCTAGGAGCTGCTAGAAACATATGTACAGTTTCATGCTATTTAGTGAGATTCATTTGGAGGCTGTTTCAAATTTATAATCAGTGTTCACCTAATTGGGAACGAATGATGATCAAAGAGAAAAACATGGATCCATTAGAATATGATGAAGTTTGAACTTGAAGGAATATCAAATCGTGAAAACTGGCTGAGGAATGCAATACCAGTGAGTGTGAAAACTTGTTGGTAAGAAACTGCTCTGTTTCTTGATTTTATGGGAACCATTAGAACCTAGTGCATTTCACTTTTTCTGAATAAGGTCCCGTAGGAATTATTATGCTTCTATGCTTTCTGGAAACATTTCCTCCAGTCTCCATTGAAGAAGCGTACTTCATATATGTTTTCAGGGGGGGTTTTTGTACTTCAATCCATTTTTGTATGCTGCTATCCTGTTAAACATATTTCAATCTGATCAGGAATCTGAGAAATGCTAAACAGATTATTTCACTGGGAAATCAACAGCCTGTCTTTTGCAGAACATCTTGCTTTAATAAGAAATTCAACTTTCTAGATTTACAAAATCACATCTTCTATGGTGTAGAATTTCAATCACTGACCACATTACTAGGAGTACATATTATGCAGAGCAGTCTGTTTGCATTGTGGCTGCTATAATCTTAAACAGATCTGTGAAGTTCATATCATGCAAAACTGACTTGTTTCCCTAGATTTCACCATTTTGCTGCAAGTACCAGCAATCATAGATATCCCAAGTCCTTGAATGACCTGCTTTCTGCTTCCCTTTACACAAATCACTAGAACCTTCAATGATATTTGAAAATCACTAGAACCTTCAATGATATTTGATTTTGGCACACAAATCTGGATTAAGGCTCCCAAAACGAACTACTCAGTATAAATCTAAACCCAATTTAGTAGCAAAGAAAAACAAAATTACACAGTTAATAGAAAGGAAAAAAAAAGAGCTTCTCACTACAAAACATAGAATGGTTTTTTTTTTTTATTTTTTAAAGATGAGTTTTTATTAATAATAAGTTGAAATGTCGTGAAAAAAACATAAAACGGTTAAAAAGAGATAATTCATAAAGGCTACGGTACAACCTGAGTTCAACTTTCAATATAGTTCATAAATATTTGACATATCTCATACCATTTACATATGTTAAACATGTTGCTAAAAAATATATAAATCAATTTTTTTATTATATTTTACATATTTGTGTAAATTTTTACCCTTTTTAGATTGATATGATAAGGGTAAACTAACACAAACTCTTTAAAATTGTCTATAATTATCTTCTTAAATGATTTAAAAAATAGCTAGATTTTGTCATTGCAGAACAACTCCCAGCTCTCTTCTAACTCATCGAAGATATAGAAAAATTTTCCCAATGCCACCTGTTCCGAAGAAGAATGAAATACTGCTGCAATCAGCCTCCTCATAGCTGCCTTTCCATGCATCATCTGCAAATTTGTGATATTGAACAATTCGTCAAAGCATATATAACTTGACCAAAGCTTTGCCTTCTCATCTTGCAGCAGCATGCCTGCATAAATACAGAAATGAAGGAAGATGTGGGAAGATGGGGAGGGAAGAAGAGGACAGATTCTCTTTTTCTTAGAGATAGTAGAAGTTCCTAAATAGGGAGTCTCTGGGGAGCTATGTTTCTTTGAGAAACACGCATTTCACACCATTCAAAAAGCATCTTTCTTTGCATTTATCTTGTGATCAATTCTATCTTAAACTTTGGCATGTTGGAATTTTGTGCGGGCCTGCACATGGCTCTATGACATGGCCGGCTATCTTTTCAGACCTCTTTTTTAACTTCACTGATGGTTTCATCCTGCACATGTTTCCACACTTTCTAATGGCAGCTTTGAGTAGGGCCAACAGTTAGGTGAGGGCAAACATTTTTATGATCAAAGCTCACTTGTTCAAGAACAGTTACTATGCAACATTGAGTACCACTGGTACATTATTGGGATAAAATGATTGTCTTTCTTAATTTTGTAATATCCTTTTAGGTTAGTTAGCCTTTCATTGTTTCAATTGAATCCAAAATCTTTTAAAACTATTGCATGTATGATCCTTTTATTAAACATAATTCAAATAAATAGAAATATATATTATGTAAGATGATATTTCAAATAAATCTCGACGAGACACTTCATGTAAATAATATTAATTTTTGAAATTTGAAGATCTCGTTTCGATAGAGTTTAGAGTAATAAAATAAATGTAATAATATTTGAATATTTGATTTATTAGTTAGTGTATGATTTTTTTTTTAAAAAAGTAGAGTTTGAATCTCTTTCTTCAAATATATATATATATAAAAAAGATGGGTGTGATAATAGGGAAAAAAGGAAATTTATGTAGATACTTGTAGATAAATAAATTCCCAACTGATTAGAAGTTGTGGGCATTTAGATGCTTATTACAACATAAAATAAAGAAAAGCCTACAATAAATAAGAATAGAGTAATAGGTGACAAATGGCCCATGAATTGGCAAGGGTTGAACCTCATATCTCATTATTCACCAAGGTGACAGACAATGTAGTTGTCAAGAAGTTGAAAACATTAGATATGACCCAACTTGTTCCTAAGCTTCCTTTATTTCCTTCTCCATGGAAATTACCAACAACAACTAGCATAAGGGTTTTAAAGTTTTGTTTAACTACCTTCTTAGATGACTTAGTTGATCTTAAGTTTGTGATCTAGCCTGGCACATGGCTTTAATGACAGTTGCCAACTTTCTTTTCATCTACCAAATGTTTACTCGTTTATAAAGGTATCTTTGAATAGGGACAACAGCTAGGTGAAAGCAAACGCTTAAATGATTCAGAGCTCACTTCTTCATGCACTGATATTCTACAATAAAGAAGATCAGACTTTGGACTGTTAGTCCTTTTCCTTATAAACCAGAAAAATCCAGCGTGGACTTGGATTCCAACTTTCCAAGGTTAGTATCCAATTCCAAGTCCAGTGTATTAAGCATTCGCTGGCCTCAGTTGGAGCTTTTAGGGCCTAACAAATTTATAAAGCAAAGTTGATTCTTTGCTTAAACTTGCTGCAAGGAATGGGAAACGAAGAAGACTGGATTCCATTAGTTTAGTTGTGATTTTTTGATACCTTTCTTTACAACAACTTGCCAAAGCAATTGAGTAAGAATCCGAATTTCCGCGTGCAGTGCTCTGTCATGGGAATCACTTAATCCTGTTGCACAAGCAAGGATTTTACAGTTAAATCATTGGAACAATATGATGAGAAGGCTACTACAAAACAATTGTGCAATCATAAAACAGAAAGAAACAATTTACTGCTACAACTTAAGAGATAGAGTGAGAGAAGAGAACTCATAAACCTGTGTCATCAAAACATACAGATTTTTTTCAGGATTTACATGGCTTGGTCTGCTGTGTCTTCTGCTGTCACAACAATTGCCGAGCTGCTAAGTCAAGAAGCAATATACCTATGGGGCGTGAAGGAGCAAGTTGATCGTTTGCAAAAGGAGCTGAGATGGATGCAAAGCTTCTTAATAGATGCAGATGCAAGACAAGGTGAGAGTGACAGGGTACGTCTTTGGGTTGCTGAAATCAGAGAACTTGCTTATGATGCCGAGGATGTTGTCGAGACTTTTGCTCTGAAGATTGGGTCCAAAAGGAAAGGAGGTTTTTCGAATGTCGTCAAACGATCTGCTTGCATCTTGAAGGAGGGATGGATGCTCCACAAAACCAGGTCAAACATCGAGGAAATCATGTCAAGCATTTCTGAGTTGACGCGACAACTGCAGACATATGGCATAAAAGAGTCAAGGATGGAGAAGAGTCAACTTCTCTTACGAAAGGCGTGAGTTAAGCGGTCTTATCCTCATATTATTGAGATAATATTGTTGGATTGGATGATGAAACTAAGAGATTGGTCTCGGTTCTTGTTGATGAGGAAAGTCATAGCCGAGTAGTGTCTATATGTGGAATGGGTGGTCTGGGGAAGACCACTCTGGCTAAAAAGGTTTACCGTCATAGCCAGATCAGAAGTCATTTTCATCACTTGGCTTGGGTGTATGTCTCTCAGCAATGCCAAAGAAGAAATGTATGGGAAGGAATTCTATCTACCTTTAACATTATGGATAAGGAGGATAGGAAAAAGCAGGATCAAGAGTTAGCAGAGAAGTTGTTTAATTTCTTGAAGAATGAAAAATGTTTGGTGGTACTTGATGATATTTGGA